GAGTCCCTGATAAACAAAAGACTGAGCTTTTTTCTAGAGCAGAGGGGGTCTTTTAGAGCATCTCAGGGAGGGTTTCGCCATCGGCTTGCTGCTGTTGACCAAGTGGCAAGGCTGGAAGCTGCAATCTGTACTGCACTGGCCACCAGGTCAGCTCTGGTTGTGGTATTCTGTGATCTTTCAAACACATTCGACAGAGTTTGGCACACAGGTCTGCTGTACAAGCTTAGCCAGTGTGGAGTGCGAGGTACACTGCTGAGATGGATACGTGCCTACCTCACGGGCTGCTCATTTCAGGTGCAGTTGGAAGGCGAGACCTCATCTACAAGACACATCAGATCTGGCGTCCCTCAAGGAGCTATTCTCTCACCGCTTTTGTTCAATGTAATGATGAGAGACCTTCCATCAGTGCAGGGAGTGGGTGTGGCAGACTATGCTGATGAGGTTGCTTTTTTTACCAGCAGCCATGACATTGCTACAGCCACAGTGAGAATGCAGTCACAACTGGACACATTCTATGCTTGGACCAAACAGTGGGGACTGACCTTGAACCTAGCCAAAACAAAATGCATGCTGTTTACCAACGAACAAGCCAATACAATCCCATTGTCTTTAGATGGCTGTGTCCTGGAGTTTGTTAAACAGTACGGTACAGATATTTAGGTGTGGTTCTTGACGCACCACGGCTAAGATGGGAACCACACATCAATGCCCTTAAACTAAATTGTATCCCAATTGTAAACCTACTACAGTCTATCTCAGGCAGACAGTGGGGTGCAGACCGTATGTTGTTGATAAAATTGTACAAGACCCTGATAAGGAGCCGACTGGACTATGGAGCAGCCTTCTATGGATCTGCAGCACCAACAAATCTTGCAAGATTAAATGTGATCCAAAACAACTGTTTGCGCATAGCTCTTGGCTGCCGTAAAACAACCCCGGTCTCTACTATGGAGGTGGAGGCTAACATTCCACCTCTGTCTGTCCACCGCAAAGTACTAATGTGCAAGTACTATCTCCGCCTCATACAGTTGCCCGAGTGTCCTGTTGTGTCAGATCTGTTCTTTGCAAATGCACCTCCTATCATGCCACAGAGGACATCATCACTAGCCAGCTTTGTCCCTTGCACCAGGGCTATCTTTTCTTCATTACAAATCACAGTTCCTCATCTGCTCACCTCTTCCCTTGTCTCCCCACTTCCTCCCTGGTTTAACTCCGAAATTCTATTCTCAGTTGACTTTTCTTCATCTACTGTATCAGATACTTCTTCAGAAGCTGCCGCCCAAATTTTTCAAGACCTTGTTATCTTCAAATATTCTAGCCACACAGCAATATTCACAGATGGATCTCATGTAAGCTCTCCTAGCCATTCAACCTCAGCTGCAGTAGCAATTCCCTCCAGAGGGGTCCTATTAAACTGGAAGCTTCGTCCAGATGTTCAGGTAATTGAATCCGAACTATTTGCAATAAGAGAAGGTTTGAGTTGGTCACAAACCAACCTCCTCCAATCAGAAAATGTTGTAATTTTCACAGATTCACAATCCTCAATTTGCATGATAAGAGATAGACAACCTACTTCCTATCTAAGCTTAATATTTGAAATACAAAATAAAATCATGTCACTAATGCCCTCCCATGAGGTGCGCATCCAGTATGTCCCTGTCTCTTATACACATCTAGATGTGTATAAGAGACAGGTGTACTGCACCATGCAGTGTACTGCACCATGCAGTATACTGCACCATGCAGTGTACTGCACCATGCAGTGTACTGCACCATGCAGTGTACTGCGCCATGCAGTGTACTGCACTATGCAGTGTACTGCACCATGCAGCGCCATGCAGTGTCTCCAACGAATGATGTACAATTTTATCCTGAGACACGCGGGCCCGAGTGTCATGGCATTTCATGTCTTATAAATGAATAAGTTTTACTCCGTCCTATTTATATTTGTGTTGCATTTGTTTACGTCTTATTATGACATTTCATTATGTCTAATCCCGAGTATCTTGGCATTGCATAATGTCTTATAAATGAATGTGTTTTACACTGTCTTCATTGCATTTGTCTCCGAGCTCCATGTACTGTCATTCAATGCTATTATTTGCTTATTTGCTCTCTGTCATTATTTACTTTGTGAGTAACAAGAAAATACCTTTATTATTTTTATTTGAGTAATTGTATTTTAGGGAGTATTAAATTTTTTAAACACGATTGCTGAGCGTCGTAATGGATTTATCTTACCAATTTCTATGCATCAAATTACGAAGTCGTTTGAGAAAGGCTCGTCTCATGCGAACACAATTCAACGATGTTCATTATATAGTTTTTATTTGATATCAATGCGTCGCGCGTGTCCTGAAACTCCAGCTGTTCAAATGTCTCTAATATGTTTTTTTTTGCTGTATAAAAACCGCGTTTTGTACAAAAAACTGTACAAAACACGGTAGACTAACTTCATGTAATCGGTTCATTATAATTCGCATGTGATTTCCAGCTCGTCATTGAATATCAGATTCAAAAGTTCTCCGATCGTAAAATTTCCTGACGGAAAATTAATGTAAATACAGTTAAAATTTCTGAAGTAACCTCTTGAGTTGCTGTAAGTGAGAGAAAATGAGACTTTCAAATATCTGTCGTAAAATCAGCAGTAAAACTTGCCTCCATTCAGGAACGATCGTAAAAATTCTTCACAATGCAAGCTTCTTCGAGTGCAGGCTTGGAAAAAAACACCAGTGTAATCTGTAATAAAACTCGCGTTGTGGGGGACCTCTTTTTAAAATTACGTCTCGGTAATGCGTGCGTCTGGTTACCTTGAATAAACGGCCCAACTGTGACGGCTGTAACGCAAATCGATTTTTGGGATTCGTTCCAGCGTATTAATTTAATGTTAAATGCACATTTTTTGTGCAAATACGAAACTGGATCTTGATTTTTGGGACTATTTTCATTCAATTATAATATAATCTTCGAAAGTTTGATCTATTTTGTGTGCATAATGTAAATATCAAATAACGTTCATTTATGATATATTTTTAAAATTTGCATTCTTGTTCATTAGGAAGAAAATATTCGTTACCGAGTTTGATTGTATCTTTGAATAGATTCTATAGTAATTAACTAAATCTTCTATTAGGTTAAGATCAGGAATGATTTCCGTTCATGGTAAGCAATTTGAATGTACGGTGAATGAGTAAACTTCTACTTGTGACATGATTGCTGTACGATTCAATCGCTCCGGCAAATTTTTTTGAATATTTACAAGCTCAAATTTTCATTGCGGTTTGGTCGTCTGCTAAACGTTCCAGAACCTCTCTTGAACATGACTCATGTCTTTCCTAGTAGGGTAACATGGGGCAGCGAGCCCACTGCGGGTCACGGGCCCATAGCGGGTTTCTCGCTAAGTATGGCAGATATTGGCCCGTGTTCTCTACCTTTAGTTTAAAAAAAGTGGGGGGCGCGCTGCCCCACGTTACCCTAATTCGTTTATCGCTAAAATCATATGTTTTATCGAAATATGGATTACAAAAGGCTTTTTTTCAATTGTTGATATTCTAAATTAACGTCACGTCTGTAAAATGAGAATTCTCGATATTGCAATGTTAGATCATGTAAATGTTTCTTTTTAGAATGAGGTTATTAAAAATGAATATTATGTTTTCGATTAAAATAAAAATGTTCGATATTGCAAGGAAAATTATTAATCCTTGAACTCCGTTAACAACATCATCAGAGCAATCTTTTTCAGTTTCCTTCACCAGTTGACCACGAGCCCCTCTTGATTGCTGACCTGCACAATATTGTAGTAGACGACGTTTACCAAGTAGTTTACAGTCGTAAAAATATAATAGAAACACTATATTAAATCCTTTGATAATCTCTAGAAATAAAATCCTTTATTCTTACAGCAATTATGACGCGCGCTGTCTCTCTCGCAGATAAATCTCGACGTCTCTCATCCCCCAGTCTCTCTGCTTTAGATTTTTGAAACATCTGCAAAAATATATTACCTTAACTCATAAATAAAATTTAAGCTGTACATACATTATACAATCGGTGAATGATTTTCAAAAGTCAATTGAATTTTTTCTTATATGTCTCTCTTGCGTGTCATGTCTCACGCCATATCGTGGTATTGCCGACTTATTCTGGAATTCAAAAAATAAACTTTTAATTATTATTAAAAGTTATTAATAGGTCTTGATATTCAGGTGTAAAATTCTAAAATTTTAAAATGAATCCTCTCATAAATGCAGTGCTTGCTGTAGCTTGCCTATAAAAGCAGCGCAATGTGTCTCGTTACTATGTTTGGTGTTCTACAGCGCAATAAGAAGTATTCATTCGTGTTCTGAAGTGTCTTGAGTAAGTGTTATGTAACCCAATGACAAGTATTCTATAGAGTTTCAAAGCGTCATAAGTATTCACTACGTTCTTCTGCGCGACGCTGAACACTCACTCGTCGTTCAGGCGCCGCCCCAGGCTCGCCTCACGCGACGTTGCCGGCCTCTGGGCAACCGCCAGAGATGCCCTCAGCATCGGCGCGTCAGTGCTGCCCAGGAGGTGGCAGCTGATGGAGGGTGTAGCTATCGCGCTCTGTAGCGCCAAGTCTGCGATCTCCACACCTTCTGCCTGGAAAAATGTCATGCAGTTAAAATGTAACTTAAGAAAATAATTCGATTTCTGTAATAGATATCATGACGTCGATTTATAACTAGGGAAACGAACGAACTAATTTGGATAATAAAGAATCTTGTCATCAAAATATAATTTCAGAAACGAACAGATCAATTTGGGTAATTGAAACGAAACTTTTGTTGTTGAACAACAACAACAACAACTGAGTTATTAAGAGTTGGATAAGTTTGAACCATATAGCTACATTATATCTTCAGTTGTTTGCTCAAGAGTGGATTTTCGGAAAAAAATTTCAACTTCAGAGTCATGAATCTTTAATAAGAATTCGGCTCATTTTGAAGTGTACTTGTAAATGGGACCATAAAACTACACTTGTATAATCCAATACTTCATTGGTAAACAACAATTGTAATGTACCTATTAATAAATTTATTTTTGGAAACGCGTTCACTCCTCTGACGGTAGCTCTACTTACAGTATCATGAGCTTTAATTTCGAATATCATTGAAGACGATTAAAATATTCGTTTACAAAATATTGTTTCCTTCTCTGACCATGAATGACGGATAACCTTGATGACGGTCAATTTATTATTATTGACGACTTGACGACTGTTACTGTCTCTTTGGACAAACGGTTAATACAGTTTTCTGGACATATGATACGGATATCGGTGACCACAGTCAATGCTATGATATTAACGACCATTAATGTCTCTTCGCACAAATATTATATAATATCGTTTTCAGACCATTAAAAGTGGAAAGCATTGATAGCGGATCACCCTATCGATGACTCTTGACATCGCTTTAAACCTAGACAACTGCCAATTTATTAATGTTGACGACTGCTAATACCGATGTGGACAACCGGTTGATTTAGTATTTTTCACCTTAAATACGGATAGACTTGATTACGATCAATATATTAAAATTGGGAACTGTTTTGTTTCATCAGACAAAGGGTTGATACCGTTTACTGGCCATTATAGTATTAATGGCCAGTATTAGTTGAATTTACTGGCCATTGCTGTATATATGTATATTAAGATGGACGGCTGTTCAATACCGCTTCGGACACATGGTTAGTCAGTTGGAGTACCCCAACCTTGCACAAAGCACGTGCCGCCTCGCACGCCCTCTGGATGTCGTACCCCGCAGGGTGCCAAGACTGAGGGCCTCTGGAACTCAGCAGCCCCATGCTCGTGATGGAGGCGTTGATTATGCCCACACCTGCACTCTGAAGGCAGATTACGGCTGGCGGTAGTGTTGATTATGCCAACTCCTACACTCTATGTACAGGTTTCGGCAGGTGGAGGCATTGATCATGCCAACACCTGCACTCTATATGCAGGTTTCGGCAGGTGGAGGCATTGATTATGTCCACACCTGCACTCTATATGCAGGTTTCGGCAGGTGGAGGCATTGATTATGCAAACACCTGCACTCTAAACGCAGATTTCGGCACGTTGAGGCATTGAGTATGTCCACACATGCACTCTAAACGCAAGTTACGGTTGGTGTTTACGTAGCAACATTTCTATTTTATATACGTATAGTCTCACCACCTGGTGTTGTACAACCTTATACAGGAAGAGGACCTAATGCCTACGTAAGGTATCTCACCTTAGGATGTGAATAGCAATAACCCCGGTTAATATATTCACAGAAAAAGAGCCAATATGTACGTCCGCTAAATATATTACTGCCAATAACCGGACATGAATTTAACGCGGCATGTCTATGCTATGCTTTAACAATATGCGTGATAGAAATCAATTGTATGCTCAGTTATATAAACACAATATTTCACAATTTATACCGAGAAATCGTCTCAGTACTCAAACACGCCGTGGTAGGTATGAGGATGTGCTTATGTCTAAATAATTGTATTAGCGTTCAAGATGATTGTTGAAATTTGGATGATGGTTTATCGTTCATCTGATTAAGCATATGAATATTTTAAAGGGTGAAAATTATGCGAAGAATATAATTAATATATTTTTAATGTAAAAAATAAGCATATAGACCCTTGCTTACTAGCTGAGAAATAGTTCGGCAAACACCTTCGTAGTTGCATAATATCTCGAATAGATTCTTTTAGTCCATATGAAAAGACTACCTGTTTATGGTGCCACACAATATAATTGTTTTTAGGTGAACCTTATAAAGTATTTTTTTCTTTTAAAGTCGCACTCTGATTGATAACTAGTAAAGGCAGGTGATTAGATTTTAGGTGAATTCCTTGTGAAGCCTCACGTTGATTGATAACCTGAATATGTTGGTAATTAGACTCACTTGGAAACGAGGAATGTATTCTTGCAGGGATTTGTCGAGGAGGGAGCTCCTGGCGTAGTTCAGAACCGTGTCTATTTTCACCGAGGAATTATCAAGCACGTACTGTAGCACGTCGGGGCAGTAGCTCGTGATCCCGATGAACCTGAGAAGATAGAAAAACTTTTTCGGTACACGTAAGGACGTGTCAGCGTATCAAATTTCCTATTTTATTTTTTTATAAATCATTTGTTTTGAGCCAACGTAACTGCGACTAAATCTTAAATTTAAACGATTAATTGGTATAAACTGTTAATAAATGAATGAATGGATGAATAATTTATTTTGGGTATGGGGAATGTTAAATGTAAACGAAGAGAATAGCTATTATCGTAATAAATGAATCATTCATGACCACGAGTTAATTGAACATCAATTTTTCGTCAATATTTATGTATTTAATCTTCAATTTTGTGTTCACTTTCTAGTGCCCAACCCGTGCATATAGAAATAACATGACTGGGTTTCCGAGAGCGCGCGCATTTGATGCAAGGGATGAACCCGCCCTCTAGACAAATAACGTTGAAACAACGTTTAATCGACGTAAATTCAACGTTTAAACGTTGTTGTTAATCAACATTGTTCCAACGTCGCAAATGTCTGGTAGGTGGTGAATGCTCACCGCGCTTTCCCTTGCTGCCTAACTTTTTCCAAAGCTGGGAGAGTTTCTAGGATGACTTGGTTTATGTCATCAGCGAATTCAACGTCGTGGACTTGAATCACATCGACGTATTCGAGACCCAGCAACTGCAAGCTTTGGTCGACGCTTTCTATGGTTTTGGCGGCAGAGAAATCGAACATTTTTTCAAAGTTTGGTTCGTATCGTCCGACCTTGGTGGCGATGTAATAAGCTTTGCGCAGGACGTGCAAAAGCGCCTGGGAAATGAATGTATCGATCTTGAGTCAGAATGATTAATAATTATAAAAATATGTAACAATAGTGAGAAATGTTTTTTCAGAGTATTTCATTTCGTATTTTCAACCAAACTTTGAACACAAAATTTTGTAATAAATGAGCTTTATCTGTACCGTGTTCTTAGTTTACGTATTATTCCTAGTGCACTAATGACAAAAATGTATATCAGAGTATTTCATTTCAAATTTTCAACCAAACATTGATCACAAAATTTTAAAAAAACGAGGTAGATTTGTACCGTATTCTCAGTTTACGTATTATTCCAAGTGCACTAACCTTGCCCAGAACTTGTTCACTCTTCCTATTACCGTACCACGGCGCCGTGTCCACGTAGTTCAGTCCCAACCTCACCCCCTCCACGACCATCTCAACGTCCGCTGCCTCCCCCACCACCTCGTAGCAGTTACCGAGCGATGACGTGCCTATACCCAACTGTGATACCCTTAGGCCTGTTGTGTATAGAAATAAGGCAAATGTTTCTTAATTGTTGTCGTTATTCTAAAAATTATTATTATTTTTTTGGATGAATATTTCTTATATGCTGTTATTGTTAATTTTAATAATAATAATAATAATAAAAATAATAATAATAATATTATTATTATTATTATTATTATTACAATTGATATTATTATTATAATTATTATTATTGAGATGGATATACATATATATTAACAAAACATCAGTGTCGACTACTTCCCTTTTGACTTAAGTTGGAATAGTTCGATAAATCAACAGTCTTATGACCAATATTTGCTAAAGCACACGTGCACAGATTTTCACCCATCGAAGCATAAGTATCATGATACGTTATTTGATCTCTTTTAGAAAGTATTTTTTTTCATCTGAAATGCTTTCGTTTGTGTGGAAGGTCTGCTTTGAATTGCCTCTTAGTAAGTAAGTTATGTTCTTTCACAAAATGCGGTATTGTCTGAGTTCTGGGAATAACTCATGGAATTACATTTTTAATGAAGTGCTCGCACTACCTACTTTAGGTAATTTCTCATAAACGTAATTTAGTTTAGAAATATGTAACTAAAATGTTAGATTGCGGCTCCCGACTTACCTGTCTTACCAAGATCATTGTATTGAACTTTTTTCACGGCATCCTTATCATGAAATCCTTCCACATATGTTTTCTCTTCCATAGCGTATTTTAGGGAAATGCTTGGTTTTCGATGTTGACCTCCACGCAATTCCGTTCACTATTTATCAAGCGGTTTTGTCTTATCTCTGAGTACTCTAGACGTGACCTGGCATAGTTCTACTTGACCACTACAGGTACTATTTTATATTTAGACTGTTCATTTATACATAGCAGAACATATAGCTATACATAATAATAGTAGAACTTGGTCTATTACAATTTTACTATTAACACTTGGATCTTCCATCTACATAACATATTCGGATATATTGAACTCTGCACAAGCTTGAAAAAAATCCCGAAAAATTTGGCCTCACTGCACCAAATCCTGCGCTTACACAATCTACATCTACATAAGTATCAAAACCACCTACACCAGCACCACCTACACCAACACCACCTACACAAATAAATAAATAAAGAATAGAATAAAAAGCAACACCATTTATTTGGACGAGCTCGGACTCGAAAGCAATTAACCCCAAACCACCACTCAACTCCACCACTCGTACCTCAGGTACTTGTGGTGGCACTACCCTAGAAATCACTGTGATACACACCACTAGATATTTCACGTTGAAATAACGTTGATTAAACGTTGTTTCTACGGAATTGGCCAGTAATCTACGTTTTTTCAGAGCCATTTTGCTCGAGGGATCATAACTGATCGTACCTCATGGTATTGTGGTCAATGTATGACACAATTTGCTCGAGAGCTCACGTTGAGATTCTCTCATGTTTACGAAGGACCTGCACCGTTATCACCAAGTTGTTCATGTCAATGAGGGGAGATATTGAGGCGTTTGTATTGTTTTTGTGTAAGATGACTTGCAATAACTTTATCATACTGTGCACATAAAAGATATATGAATGCTTCTCCAGTATGAATTTATGCAACCTTGCAGCATCAAATCGAATCGCAAATAGAGTGGCAAATGCTCGAATTTTTTACATAAGAAACTCATGACTTTTGATTTTTAGCGCATTTTCTCATTTATGGAAAATGGGCGCTACTGTGCTCGCCATATGTCCGTCCGTCCGTCCGTCTGTCCGTGATTTCACGTTTTCGTCTACAAGAAAATGCGCCATGTCACTCACTGCAGTGAGTACTGATTTATATTTTTTAAACTCAATTGAGGAATTCAAACATGCTTGCGTTGATCGTGCTATTTCAAATATTTCATTTGGCATGCTATTCATCGGTCACGCTATTGGGGACTATCCAATAAATAAGCAAACAAAACTTTCGGTGCCCCAAACACTTGGCCAATGATCACAAATAAAAAGGATGAATAAAAACTGATAAGTTAAGAACTATAATAACAAAAGAACTGTAAATAGAAGAAAACACATAACAAAACTATAAACCGCGTATCTTTCTAGCCCTCAACTTCCAACTCATAAGAATGTCCTAAGTTCGGAGTTCGCTGAAAAAACCACAAATAAATACAAATTAAGGACTCGAATTAACGCAACACTAACAAATGAATGTAACACACAATGATAAACTAATATAAATAATAATATTTCCAGAAAGGCCACCACTACATCAACACGGAAGATTAACACACGATAAACAATCCTAGTACTTGCCTCTTTGGTGGATAAGATAGCAATGACAAATAAGTAAACATTCATTTGCGAAGTCATCGGTGGTGAATCAAAACGGAAATGACAAATTAAACGAACCCTATTGTAATCCCTAACAACGCCAAAATGACACTCGACTTCATCAGTTCATGGACATCCACATCTGCTGTTGGTGAAGCCAATAGGTTTTCTCTTGTACAGATTTAATTTAATTTTAATTAAGTTTCAAAACGCTCATGATAAGTTCTCGTACAACCAATTTTATTCATCCTGAATGTGCATTCTTTATTAGCTTCCATAGTATGCATATGCAAGCAAAATTGTTGAAGGACACAAATTATATTATAAAATTTTTTAAGGATGAAGGTCGAAGAATGAAAATGGCAGACAAATATCATGCAAAATGTTTTCTTATTTTCGGGAATCAATCTAGCCTGCACCGAAGTAATTGTTTGAACTCACTTATCGTTAGGAAAGAACAATTTCACTTATTTTAAATTAGGTTCATAATCGGAGCAGCTGTAAAATACTTACGAAAAGTGTTGGCGTTAGTCAAGGCTAATCGTTCCCGGCCTGTTACGCTGACTAACAATCCTTCCAAGGTGTTGTGTTAGGAATGTCTCGATATACTTTTAATCACCTCAAAAAACAACTGTATCATGACTTTTAGAAATTTTTTCTTTCAAAAAGGTAGAATATCAATTCTGTACAATTTTGATTAAGATTAAGATATGATTTAGTATTGAGAGATTCTTCCATTGTACTATGAACTTCATTGCGGGTATATCTAGATTGTTTTCAGAATAAACATCAAATATCACAAAAGAAATTTACACTTCAATGATAAAATTTCTTGGCACTAACAAACTCTAGATGCCACCACTACATAAAAAATTCACAGCAGAGTGACTTTATATATTATTTGCTGAAAGTGATCGAGAAAGAGAAAAATCGATGAAGCCCCTTGAAAAAAGGCGAAGAAAGGGTAGAAAGTGTCGGGAGGACTGCAATGAAAAGCTTTTATTGGCACTTGTGGAATGGAACGGCGGCGAGAGAGCTGCCAGAAGAGGCCGTTGAAGCTGTCACGATAGTGCTCATTAAAGCTCTCACTTAATGAGGCATTAAGAACGTCAATAAAGAGCTCGTTGTGGCGCAGATTAAGTCGTGCCACTGATAAGGTGCGTCATTTGATAGCGACGCGTCTCGCTATCTTGTGGATACGCTCAGTCTGATGTGGTCGGAGTGATAAGAAAGCAGATTGTGTAGGTCACAATCACTGACCTAAAATGATGACATGGGCCTATAAGAATCATCATTGACCTAAAACAATAATACATGCCTATCAGAATCACCTGCCTAAAATAACGATATATGTAGATCCGAATCACTGGCATAAGATAATAATATATGCAGATCAGAATCACTGGCATAAGATAATAATATATGCAGATCAGAATCACTGGTATAAGATAATATTATATGCAGATCAGAATCACTGGTATAAGATAATAACTGTCTCTTATACACATCTAGATGTGTATAAGAGACACTGTGATGTTGGGAGTAAGAGACACTGTGATGTTGGGAGTAAGAGACACTGTGATGTTGGGGTGGGTTGACTGTGTAAAATCTTGCACTAAAATTTAAATTATTTTACACGTTTTTTGTCTTTGTTGTTTAATTTCGGTATTCTTGAGCTTAGCAGTTGTCCTAGATATAAGCAGTGACTCGATTTTTTTACTGCGATATAAGATGAATTGAATGAAATTGGTATATTGAATATAAGAAAATTATTGTATATCATTTATTGAATGAAACTGGTTAGTTAGCTCGGAAAAGGAGTAGAGGTTAATATAACAATTTCATTTTCCGTTCAGCATTTCATCTTTGTCTTGGGATTCACATATACAGTATTTTCAGTTGAGAATTTAAAGAACACATTATACAGGCAGTTATGTATATTAAGAATTAGGCAATTCGAATAAATTGTTATGTATAACACTTTTGCTTTTGTACTTTTACATTACTTTTTTACTTTTAAAAATTTATTTAGAAGTAATTTGGTACCTCAACTCAGTGTTGAGTAATATCATGAAATAAATATTATGCTTCATCTCCATAATGATAATGAAATATATATTTGAATGAATTCACTGATTTTTTTGCCAGATCGGGTGAATTTCTGATTATTGATAATTTAATTAAAATAATAAGTGCAGTAAGAGGTTTCTCAGAGATCAAATTTAGTTATTTTTTACATGCTTTTAGCCTTTCGTGCTCATGATCTTTTAAGCAGGTTCATTACGCTTCGGATGTCGTACATTAAATAAGATCGTCATTCTTTCGGTATAAACCTGCACAAATGAAAGAGTTGGGAGTTTTTTTAAAGAGTGCAGGTCATAAGTGAATATTTTGTGGTCCCTTTTAATAAATGATCGTGAAAAACAAAGCTGTGGTTAACCCCAGACTTTACAATATCATTGCTTGGCCACCCTTTCCAATAATAATAATATACGTTTAAAAACTACTTTTTAAAGACAACACTTCCAAAGAATCCAGTGTCTCCAATCTTACAGATGTACCATGAATTTCTCATTTAATTTTTGAATATTAAAAAATTAATTTTTAAATTTTCAAAATTATTTATTCTATTAATTGATTCATGCATTGCCTCCGACTTCACAGAAGTGTGCAAAATTTCAGATCAATTAGACAGGTAAAAGTGTGTCAAATATCAGTTATAAGATTTGTAGCTGACAAAATTATTTTTTCAATTAATTAATATTAAATTTTTTTTTAATTTTTAAAATCATTTATTTTGACATTTGATTCATGCATTGTCTCCAACTTTACACAAGTGTGCAAAATTTCAGATCGATTGGATAAGTAGAAGTGTTTTAGATTTCGATTACAAGATTTGTAGCAGACAGACAGACAGACAGACAGACAGACAGACAGACAAACAAGAAATGAAGTTAAAGAGAAGTGTTGTAAAAAGAAATTATTCCAGGCCCCTGTGTGTATACAAATCACTCAAATTATCGTTTTTATGCTATATGTGCTTCCGGGAAAAACATTTGATTTGTCGGGCTCGAATCTGTGGATAGCCAAAGCTCATTTACTCGTACATCACCAGCAGCACATATACACTAACGCTCGTACCTTGTCTCCAACGCTCGTACCGCGTATCCAACGCTCGTACCGCGTATCCAACGCTCGTACCGCGTATCCAACGCTCGTACTGCGTATCCAACGCTCGTACCGCGTATCCAACGCTCGTACTGCGTATCCANACTGGCATAAGATAATATTATATGCAGATCAGAATCACTGGTATAAGATAATATTATATGCAGATTAGAATCATTGGTATAAGATAATAATATATGCGGATCAGAATCACTGGCATAAGATAATAATATATGCAGATCAGAATCACTGGTATAAGATAATAATATATGCAGATCAGAATCACTGGCATAAGATAATATTATA